CTTGTGTGGTGTGTGGCAACACCAGGAACAGCCACATTCCCACAGACATTTCTGGACTCTTCCTGTCCTGAGGCCTAAGTACTACAGACCGCCTGGGCAGAACCTTCCATGGCATTTCCGAGATGCCATTTGCTTCTGCCCAAGTGCAAACAGAAGCCATCGTTTCCAAGTGGCTCTAAATTCCTAAGATCTGGTAAGGGACAAACCAGCCCAGGGGGCAGATCACGTGACCCTGAGTCTAGCAAGGACATGAGCCAAAAGTCATCTGACATGCATTGGTCTGGTGCCCACCAAGGAGCAGGCAGTGGCTCTCAGGATTACCTGCATCTCCCTGGTTCCAGACCAGCCTGAGCAAGAGTGAGACTTCTGTTTCTACAAAAAAATGGAAAAATTAGCCTGGCATGGTGGTGCATGCCTGTAGTCCCAGCTACTCAGAGGCTGAGGCAGGAGGATCGCTGGAGCCCAGGAGTTGGAGGCTGCAGTGAGCTATGATAACGCCACTGCCCTCCAGCCTGGGCAGCAGAGCTAGACCCAGTCTCAAAACAAAACAAAACAAAAAAACCCACAAACAAAATGTAGTTTTCCCCACAGAGAGCTCTCCCTGATTTATCATATTCCTTTAACCATTTTTCCCATCTCACATGTCACCTTCTGCCATGTGTCTCCTTTATCTGCCCCTGCGTAAAGGCCAGCTCCCCCAGGGCAGGGGTTCTGGTAACTTGCTCAGGGCTATGTCCCTAGTCACACAAGAAAAACAGTTTTCAATGAACGGACGAACAAGACCCGAGGTTCTGAGTGCTTCTGCTGTGCGTCACACTGTCCCCAGCACCGCAAAGGGGCTCACTAAATCCCTAGTGAACCCTAAGAAAGAAGTGCTGGTATAATTCCCATCTTGAACAGGAGGAATGAAGTCCCTGGCCCAAGATCTCACAAGCATGCCACGACAAGGCACCAGGTGACTTTATCAGCCCCGTGAGTTGAAAGAGATCCTATCTGCTGTGTTAACAGCCAGGTTTCCTAGCTTAGGAAATTGAACCTTAGTCAGGGGAACCTCACGGGACTCAGGGCGGCAGGTGCAGTGTGAGCTGGGCCCCCCACCAGCCTCTTCTGCCCTTCTCAGGATGGGGGCGGGGCAGGGAATTTCCAAGCTCCTCCCCCAAGCTCCTCCCTTGTGCCAGCCACTGAGGTTGAATGACAAGTGTCAAGAGGGAGCCATGCCCTTCTCCTTAGGGCTCCAAGTCTATCTGCTGGGACAGGCCAGATAAACCAGGGACCTCAAACTCAAAGGTTCCCGGGGGCATGAGGCTCCAGGCAAATGTCAACTGGGCCTGGGCGGGTGCTAGGGAGTGGTGGCGACTGTGGCAGCTCAAGTGGCCACTCCTAGTCTCAGGGGACAGTGGTGGCTGCTTCTGAAATCCAAGCAGTTGGTGCCAGGACAGATGTAGGCCCTGCAAGGCCAGATGATGCTTCTAACAGCGGTGGCACCGGTGTGGGGCCCATGCACTCAGCACGTGTTTGCTCATCCAGTCCCCGGCAGGGGGACGTCCAGTGATCACCCGCACCTTACAGGAAAGGAATCTGAGGCCCAGAGAGCCAAAGTCACACAGTCAACCACAATGGAGTCAGGCTTTGGGCTCAGAGTCTGCATGCTCCACCACTAAACTCTAAAGATCTGGGTGCACTCGAGCCCCGCGGAAATCTGGATTTTGATGTGAAATCTAATCTTTAAATATTGGCAGCTCATTAAAAACAATTTCTAGGCCGGGTGCGGTGGCTCACGCCTGTAATCTTAGCACGCTGGGAGGCTGAGGCAGGCGGATTGCTCGACGTCAGGAGTTCGAAACCAGCCTGAGCAAGCCCCCGTCTCTACTAAAAATAGAAAGAAATTAATTGCCCAACTAATATATATAGAAAAAAAAATTAGCTGGGCATGGTGGCACATGCCTGAAGTCCCAGCTACTCGGGAGGCTGAGGCAGCAGGATTGCTTGAGCCCAGGAGTTTGAGGTTGCGTGAACGAGGCTGACGCCACGGCACTCACTCTAGCCTGGGCAACAAAGCAAGACTCTGTTCTCAAAAAAAAAAAAAAAGCAAATTTCTGAATGCCATGCAGGTGAAACAAAAGACCCAGAAGGCAAGCAGCCCCCAGGGCCAGCAATCTGCAATCCCCCCCCTCAATACACACACACACAGAACTGTACACAGGGCTGAGTTAACTGGGCCATTCCCATTCGGACCACATTCTTAGAAAATCCACAAGGAGGGGATAATGACAATGACACCAAGCGGCCTGTGCAGACGCCCAGGTGCCTGGCCTGGACACAGGCCCTTGACACACTCTCCCGCTCACACCTGGCAGTCAGCCAAGATGCTCACGACACACATTTCCAAGGCCAGGGAGGAAACATGTTCTTGGCTCAGTTTGGCCAAATTCACAAGCAAGTATCGAGTGGGATTCCAAGCAAGGCATTGAATTAATGCTTTTAACAAACAAATTCTAGAAGGTTGCCACAGGAGCCAGCCTGGTAGTAGCTGGCAGCCGCCAGATGCCAGGGTGCGCAGGAGGGAAAAGTGATGCTGGGCAGAGGGAATGAGGAGGGGGGGGATGGGAGGGAGACCTGTGTCCCCAACCCAGGGTCCCTAATTCCTCACTAACAGTCAAGAGCGCTCTGTTCAGCTCTCTGAGCCTTTCTTTCCCGGTCTGTAAAACAAGGATCACAGCAATGCCACCCTCATCACGCTTAAGTGGTAGTACTTGTGCCAGGCGCTGTGCTAGCAAGCATTTCTTTCTTTCTTTCTTTTTTTTTTTTGAGACAGAGTCTCACTCTGTTGCCCGGGCTAGAGTGCTGAGGCGTCAGCCTAGCTCACAGCAACCTCAAACTCCTGGGCTCAAGCAATCCTACTTCCTCAGCATCCCAAGTAGCTGGGACTACAGGCATGCGCCACCATGCCCGGCTAATTTTTTCTGTATATATTAGTTGGCCAATTAATTTCTTTCTGTTTGTAGTAGAGACGGGGTCTCACTCTTGCTCAGGCTGGTTTCAAACTCCTGACCTTGAGCAATCCTCCTGCCTCGGCCTCCCAGAGTGCTAGAATGACAGGCATGAGCCACCTCGCCCAGCCTAAGCAAGCATTTCAATGGTACCATGTCACTGCATCCTTGCAACAGTCTTGTTGAGGGATCACTGCCCCATTTTTAGGAGGGGAAACTGAGGCTTGGAGACACCAACCTGTGTAAGATCACAAAGCAAATAAAACAGAGCTTTACAGATGCCCCCACCAGAAGGCCGGGCAGGAAGGAAGATTGCCACTCAGAGGGGCTCCCAGCCCAGCCTGAGACAGGCCAGCCCCGGCTGACCCAAGTCCACACCTTTCTGCCACAGGAGACAGACCGCAACCAAGCAGCAAAGAAGGAAATTCACATCCCTTAAGAGCAAAGCCCCAGAGCTCTGGACAGCAGGGGCAGGGCTGGGCATCGAGCCGGGCTCTGCCCTGCGCCAGGCTGGTGGCCTTGAGTGAACAGCCAGTCCTTCCTCCTTCCAGCTCATCTCCAAGATAGGGATGATAACAGAACCTCCACCCTACTGTTTACCGAGGGATTCAAGATGCCCAACCAAGAAAGAACTCAGCCTGGAGCCAGCTGGATGAACATAACCCTTAGCACTGATACCAGCAATAACAACAACAATGATGACAAGGAGGAGGTTATCATGTGGCAGCCACACCTTCACAAATGGAGTACTTCCTGGAATGGGGAAGTGGCCGCCCATCTGAGAGATGGAAAGGCAAGGGGGGAGGGGAAGACTGTTCTCATTCAATTGCTTCCTGAATGCTGGAAACAGCCCAGGGAGTGGAATTTGCCCACTAGACAGATGGGCACACTGAGGCTTCTCAGGGCTGCCCAGGGAAAGCTACATCCCAGCCCTTGCCACTGAGGCCTGATTGGGCGAGAAGCCCCTTCCCAGGCTGCAAGGAAGGCCTGTGACTTGCAGGCTGTAGCTGGGGGGCTGGCCCCTGTGTTCCCTGGAGCACCCTGACAAGGACCAGGAAAGAATCCTAGAGAAAGTTCTCCCCAGGGTTCTACTTCCAATTGAGAGGGAAAGTGGAGGGGGGGCTCAAGCTTTATCCTTCAGCTCCCTTCTCCTCACTCCCTGCCAGAGGGTTGGGCCAGACAGTCAAAGGCAGTGACGGAAAGACTAGGAGATAGACACCAGGTGGGACAGACAGAGAGACAGCAGGATTCACCTGGAAGAGAGGAACCAGCTTTCACCACGGAACAAGCTGAAGACTCGGCCTGCGAGACGGGACAATATAGGGTCCCCCAGGGTCCAGCCAGCCACTCAGACAGCGGAGGCCAGTTGGGGCCACCCCCACAGTGAGACTGCTAAGTGCTGAAGTCTGCGAGAGGCATGGATGGGCGGCCAGACAGCAGAGGTCAGCCTAGACAGCTAGCCAGACAGCAGGGGGCCGCCAGGTGGGACTGGACAGATGGAAAGCCAAATGGTCGTGGTGGGGCGGGGGGGTACCTGCCCAGCACAGACACAGCCAACCAGACGGCGGAGGCTGCTCCAGATAAATGAACAGCCAGCAAGACTGCAGGGGTCGTCCCGACAGATACTTAGGTAGCAGGATTCACCCCGACAGACAGCCAGACAGAGGAGAAGGTGAATCTACCCCTGACCCACAGGCGACCAGATGGCACAGTTGATGCAAAAAAGCTAGGACCAGACAGACGGCAAGGGTCCACTGCACCTCCTGTCCCACAGCTCCCGGCCCCTGAGACCGCGCCTGGGGTCGGCACCGGCTCCCCAGCCCCTGCAGGGAGACCTCCGCCCGGGGCGATCCGCAGGACCCGCCTCCCTGTCCCCGTCCCCGTCGCGGGCACGCAAGCGCCGCAGTTACGCCGGCGGCGCAGGGCGCGCCATTCCCGGTCCGCCCTCCGCGCCCTAGGCCGCCGCCGCCCGCCCGCCCGCCCGCCCGCGGTCCCGGCGCGCTCGCTCACCGGCCCACGAAGTTCTCCAGCACCGAGCTCTTGCCGGCGCTCTGGCCGCCCACCACGGCGATCTGCGGCAGGTCCAGGTGGCAGCTCTGGCCGATGGAGCTGAAGGCGTCCTGCAGCTTGTTGACCAGCGGGATCAGCTCTTCCATCCCGCGGTTGCCCATGGCGCCGGCGGCCCCCGGCCCGAGCGCCCCGCGCTCCCCGCCCGCTCCCGACCCTCAACGACCCGGCCCCGCGGCGTCTACGGCCGTTGCTCCCCGCCCGCCCGGGCCTCGGCGCGACGCCCGCTCCCGGCTCGGCCTCACGGTCGCCGCCTCATCCGGTTCTCAGGCGACACCCGACCCAAGCGACCTCCCGCCCCGGGCCCGGGGCTGCGCCCAAAGCCCTCGCGCTGCCTCCAATTGGCCGCCGGCGCAGCCACTCAGAAGCATGAGCCAATCAAAGCGAAGCACGGGCCTACGGCTGAGTAAGCCTTCCCGCTGGGGACCGTCTCACGGGCTCATTGGACGAAAGAACTGTCACTGTTGTGCAAGAACCAATAGCTGTGGACATCGATTTGTCAACGCCGGTAGGCGGTGTTTCGGGAAAAGGCACATTGGCTCCGCCCATTGGCCGAGTTTGACTGTCTTATTGGCTAGAAGACCCGCCAGTCGAAAAAGTTGGCCAATGGTGTTAAGAATCAATCCTTAGACATTGATTAGTCACTTGACACTACCTAGTTCCCTAAGAATTTCCCATTGGCTTATATAAATATCACTTCGTTCCTTCAGCCAACAAGGCAAAAGAGGGCGGGTTTTAACATCAGAATCTTGACTCTGATTGAGAACTGTATCTGTCAATCCAAGAAAGTCCCGTTCTTCCTTGTGATTGTAGGATGTCTTCAACAGTCTTCCGAAATGCAGGAAAAGACCCACAGAACTCGCCGAAGGGCGACACCTTGTGGTAGCACCCGGTGATCGTCACTTCTGAGTTTCCGGGCTCTGGAGAAAACTACAAGTCCCAAAATCCATCTTTGCTCACAGCCTGCAAACCACCTCTGGGAGCAAGGGCGCAATGCACTTTGCAGAGGGGAGCGAGGCCTCTAATGCCCTGCTCCACGCCTTGCGAATGCTTAACCCTTTCTGCTCACGTGCCGCTTCTTCATCTTTAGTGCACCATGGATTTTCTTTCCTTACTTTAAGAGACAGCATTTCCCTCTGTCCTCCAGACTGGAGTGCAGTGGCGCGATCGTAGATCACTGCAACCTCGATCCTCCTGCCTCAGCCTCCTGAGTAGGTGGGACTACAACCCGGCGCCACTACACTCAGCTAATTTTTTGTACTTTTTCTAGAGACGGGGCCTCACTGTGTGACCCAGGCTAATCTACAATTTATGAGCTTAGAAGATCCTCCCGCCTCAGCCTCTCAAAGTGTTCACATTAATAGAAAAAATTATCTGGGTTAGATCTTGGGCCTGTTTATTTACTGGATGATTGCTGTGGCCTGACTACTTGTGACCCCCAAGCATCATATGTTGAAACCTATTTTCCAATATGATGTTCTTTGGAGGTGGGAGCAATTGGGAGGTGATTTAGGTCATAAGAGCAGAGCCCCCATAAATGGGATTCAGGCTCTTATAAAAGAGACTCCAGAGAGCTGACTTGCCCCTTACACCATCTGAGATTAGAGAAAACATGGCCATCTAAGACGCAGGTCCCAGCCAGACACTGAATCTGCTAGCACTTAGATCTGACTCTCCCAGGCTCCAGAACTGTGAGAAATAAACTTCTGCTTATTTTATTTTACTTTTTGTAGAAAGGGGGTTGTGCTCTGTTGCCCAGGCTGCATTGTAGTGGCATCATCATAGCTCACTGCAGCCTTGAACTCCTGGGCTCAAGCCATCCCCCTGCCTCAGCCTTGTGAGTAGTTGGGACTATAGACCCGAGCCACTCCGCCTGGCTGATTGTTTTTCTTAATATTTTTGTAGAGCTGAGGTCTATGTTGCCCAAGCTGGTCTTGAACTCCTAGCCTTAAGCAATCCTCCTGCCTCAGTCTCCCAGAGTGCTGGGATTAAACCACACCAGACCAATTTCTATTATTTATAAGCCACCCAGTTTATGATATTTTGTTACAGTAGCCCAAAAGGACTAAGACAGTGATAATGACCAAGTGACTTCATTCTTCTGAACCTCAGTGTCCTCTGTAAAGTGGGAACATAACTATACATACATCACAAAGTTGCAAGAATTAAATACATATGACTGCCACTTAGAATAGTGCCAGGCACAGTGTGGGCACCCGCTAGATCACACCTATTGTCAACACTGTGTTTGCTGAGAGTGAGATTGGGCCAAGTATCTGCAGAGTCGAGGTCAAAGCGTGAGCACTAAAGCCAAGCTACCACTTCCTTGATGGTAATGATCTTGAGCAAGCTACTTCCCCTCCCCAGGCCTGTCTCTTCACCTGCAAAAATGGGGATGACAACAGTGGCCACCACTAAGGTGGCAGGAGGACCTGGGCCCAGGAAAAGGGATGCAGCTCCCACTCTGGGGGCAAACCCTACATGCTGGGCTGTGCCCAGTGGTTTCTAGTCCCCAGCTGCCACCATGCTTGCTTGTTATTATCAGTGGGAAGGGGAGGCACCCTCACGCAGTGACACTGAGACCAGGTAAGGGACCAAGACAAACCACCTCTGCAAGAAGACACAGACACACTCTTTAAGTTAGAATAAAAAAAAAATTCCAAAAGAAACAAAAACCGTTTGGTATGCTCCAGCCCCTTGCTCCCTTCCCCAGCGCCAGGTCAGTCCAGTGTGATTCCTACGGAAGCCAGGGCTTCGGTGGCCCAGGTGGGACAGAGGGTGGGGTCCCCGTACATGGTGCCCATGAAGTTGCGCACGAACTCAGGGAAGCGCTTCTCCACGATGCTGGCGCGCATGGCGCTCATCAGCTGCAGCTGCAGGGAGGGGTGTCGGCGTCAGCAACTGGCACCCGGGAGGAGGCCCCTGACTGCCCTTCCCTATCCCGGGGCACTGGCCCACCTGGTAGGCGATGTTGTGCACAGTGAGGTGGTGCAGGGCGGCCGTGTTGTCGCTGTGCAGCAGTGCATGCAGGAACGCCCGGCTGTGCCTGCGGACGGGGGTGGGGGTGGGGGAACAGCTCAGCAGAGCCCGCCCTGGCCCCATCCACACCCTCTCTCCTCCTCAGCCCTCCCACCGCCATCCTGCCTACTTCTGGCAGGTCGGGCAGGTACACTCGGGGTCTATGGGGCTGAAGTCCTTCTCGAACAGCTTCTTCTTCAACTGCAGGTTCCCGGTGGGCACCAGGGCGGAGCCAAAGCGCTGGGGGGGAGGTGGGTCACCCAGGTCTCCATCCTCCCGAGCCCCACCCTTACCTTAACCCCCCAACCCCAACCCCATCGCCCTCTCAGCCCCTGCCCAGGGCCTCACCGCAGTCCGAGTGGGGAAGACACAGTCAAACATGTCACATCCAAGAGCCACGCAGACCACCAGATCCGTGGCATAGCTGGTGGGGGGAGCAGAGAGCCTCTAGCCGCGGCCCCGGCTTCCCAGGCCCCTCCCAACACTGACTCCCCTGGACTGGGCCACATTTCCTCAGGACTGCCCCCAGGGGACAGCCACGTGCTCCTTAGTCTCCTCCCCAAGCAGGGCAGGATGTCCCCAGGAATCCTCTCCCCGTAGGCGAGCCTCTGTCTCCCTCTTAACGTACCCGACCCCCATCAGGTATCGGGGCTTGTCCTTGGGCAGCTGGGAGGTGCTCAGAGCCACCATCTTCCAGAACTGGGCCTTGCTCTCCCCGCCGCTCAGGCCACCGATGGCGAAGCCAGGCACGTCCCTCTTGGTCATCTCTGAGGGCACCCGGTGAGGTGAGGGGTGACCAGACAAAAGGAAACCTGTCTTGTACTCCTCCCAGGGAAGGACCCTGCCAGGCCCTCCACTGTCCCTTAGGGAGAGACAGAGAGACAGACACAGGCAGATGGTCTGTCTGGGAGGAGGGGCTGGCTGGTGGTCTCAGCTTCCATTCCCGAGCGCCTGCCTTACGCAAGACCCTCTCCTACCCTGAGCAGAGGCGCTCCTTTAGCTGAAAGCTTTGGGGCCACATGTGGGGCAGAATTTGAGAACAGTGAACATCAAGTCTGGAGATTGAGTTCTCAATCTCCAGATTTGAGAACAGTGAACATCCCATATGTTGAGTAATAGCCAGTCATCAAATACCATAACATTTCTGCAACAAAATATGTGAAGCTTGCCAGGCTGAGTGGCTGCTGCCAAGGCTTTGGGGACCCAAGGCAGGAGGATCACTGGAGGCCAGGAGTTTCAAACCAGACTGGGCAACAGCACTCTACAAAAACTTAAAAAAAAAATTTACAGGACACCAGGTGCCGTGGCTCACGCCTGTAATCCTAGCACTCTGGGAGCCGAGGCAGGCGGATTGCTCAAGTTCAGGAGTTTGAAACCAGCCTGATCGAGACCCCGTATCTACTATAAATAGAAAGAAATTAATTGGCCAACTAATATATATCTAGAAAAAATCAGCCAGGCATGGTGGCATGTACCTGTAGTCCCAGCTACTCGGGAGGCTGAGGCAGGAGGATCACTTGAGCCCAGGAGTTTGAGGGTGCAGATGTTGTGAGCTATAATCATGCCACTGTACTCTAGTCTGGGCCATGCCTCTAAAAAAAAAAAAAAAAAAAAGAGTGGTGGCTCACACCTGTAATCCCAGCATTCTGGGAGACCAGGGCCCGGGATCCCTTGAGCTCATGAGTTCCAGACCAGCCTGGGGGAAATGAGATTCCATCTCTACTAAAAATAGGAAAAATCAGCCAGGCATGGTGGCATGTACCTGTAGTCCCAGCTACTCGGGAGGCTGAGGCAGGAGGATCACTTGAGCCCAGGAGTCTGAGGTTGCTGTGAGCTAGGCTGACACCACAGCACTCTACCCTGGCGACACAGTAAGACTCTGTCTCCCAAAAAAAATGACTTCGTGGAAGGGGAAGGGAGGAAGGAGAAGTGTGAGGGCAGAGTGGGATTATAACATGACACCTTCTAGGCAGGTGGCCCGGAGATCCGCGTCCAGTCCACCCTGGATGATGGCGAAGAGGTTCTGCTTGTCTGGCCGCCGATGGGCTGCGATGCAGCGGTCCAGCCAGCGGATTGACCTGCAAGAGGGCCCCGGTCACCAGGCTGCAGGACCGGGACACCCTGGCCCGACACAGGCATGCACACACCTGTACATGGCCTCCTCCACACGTGGGCCCGTCACAGTGCTGCTGACGACATCATCCAGCTGCATGATGATATCCGAGCCTTAGGATGAGACAGGAGCTCTATCACTGGGACGCCCCTCCCTGTTGCTGGGGACAAGTTGGACCCCTCCAACGCCCCCACCACCAGAGTCTTGCTGACTCCCAATCTGTTTACACGGCAGCCCCGAGGGAGCTGCTCAAAATGTGCATGGGACCTTGGCCCTCCCCAGCTCGAATCCTGTCCTGTCACGTAGAATAAAATCCCCAAATATGCAAAGTGACTCCTCACTGCCCCATCACAAGACAGGGAAGCCACACATCGTTAATACGGCTGAGCTTAAATAAAGCTGGCATAGCCCTGAACAAAATGTTCCTTTCCCACGATTCCAACACCCAGAGACTTTTCTAGATCAAAGCCTTTGGCAGAACACAGGATTTCTACTCCTCTGCAAGATACTATGATGGTGGATACACGTCATTCTATAAATTTGTCCAAACCCATAGAATGTAGGACACTGACAATGAACCCTAGTGTTGAACTATGGACCAAATGGAACTAGCAGCTGCCCAAAAATGCAAGGAACTGAGAAAAAGATAAAGTGACAACACAGAGACACAACCAGCCCCACACAGGCCAGAACAGCCCTTGTCACAAAGGCCTCAGGCATCCAACAAGTCAAATGCAGAGACCTTCATACAAACAAACAATATAGATGAGAAAAACCCTTTTACTATAGTGGAAAATCTGATGATTTGGCACTGACTGGTCAAGAAATGCATAAAACCCTTATTTCAAAAAGGGGAAATGGGAATTCATTCTCCATTTTTTGTTTTTTTACATTAAAAGAAACAAAACTTCAGGCAACGAAACTATATAATACTACAATGGTGGACTGTGTCGTAATACATTTGTCCAAACCCCTTGAATGTACAAAACCAAGAGTGACCTCAAATGTAATGTAGGCACATTGGGTGACAATGGTATATCGGTATAGGTTCATCGACTATAATAAGTGCACCACTCCAGCGGGGATGAAGTCAGTGGAGGGGGCTGTATGTATGGGACAGAGGGCACATGAGACTCCCTGCACTTTCCACTCAGTTTTGCTGTGAAGCTAAACCTGCTCAAAAAAATAAAATCCATTAAAAAAAACAAAGGGAGTGCTTTTTCATATGCTACGGTACATTCATTTGGCAGCAAAACTTGAGATGATTAAAATCTCTCTTAAAATCCAATTTAGGGCCGGGCGCGGTGGCTCACGCTTATAATCCTAGCACTCTGGGAGGCCGAGGCGGGCGGATTGCTCAAGGTCAGGAGTTCAAAACCAGCCTGAGCGAGACCCCGTCTCTACCATAAAAATAGAAAGAAATTAATTGGCCAACTAATATATATAATAAAAATCAGCCGGGCATGGTGGCTTGTGCCTGTAGTCCCAGCTACTCGGGAGGCTGAGGCAGTAGGATCGCTGAGCCCCGGAGATTGAGGTTGCTGTGAGCTAGGCTGACGCCATGGCACTCACTCTAGCCTGGGCAACAAAGTGAGACTCTGTCTAAAAAAAAAAAAAAAAAATCCAATTTAGTTTCTTACCAACAAAAAGGGCTAGAAAACAAATACAATTTAGTATGAAGATTCTCAAGTGTGAATCCAGTAAAAGTGAAGCGTATATACCATGGGATTCCACTTCTAGGTAGATACCTAAAGAATCCAAAGCAGGGACTCAAACACCCTATGCTACATTGCAACCTCAAACTCCTGAGTTCAAGCCATCCCTCTGCCTCAGCCTCCTAAGTGGGAGGTGCCTAGCTGAGACTACAGGCACATGCCACCATGCCTAGCTAATCTTTCTATTTTTTTGTAGACACGGGGTCTCTCTTGTTCAGGCTGGTCTCAAACTCCTGGCCTCAAGCCATCCTCCCTCCTCAGCTTCCCAGAGTGCTAGGATTATAAGCATGCATGAGCCACCACACCTGGCCAGGTTTCTTTTCTAACATGTTTTATGCAAATAAAAACAAATCATATATGTGTTTTGGATTTTTTTTTTCATACCAATGGAAACATACAATACCTTTTACCTGCACTTTTTTCCTAATTGTGACATTTTCACCAACGCCTGTATCCCTTGTGTACTGTACGCTCCAAGGATGGTGTAATACAAGGAGAATCCCAGCCCCAAAGCTAGGCGTGGAGGCCAGAGAATCTCAATACAGAGGGGCCTAAAAGCATTCACAAGGTCAGGTATCCCCCACTGAGCTGGCTCAGCTAAAGCTAAGGAAAAGGAGTGACTGATCCCAAACCACACAGCACCTAACGATCGGGGCCCACCACCCCTCCCCTCCCAATAGACAGGAGAAGGGGCGGCTCCCCGGGGTCTACTTACCCAGTGCGTTCTGGATCTGCACCGACTTCTCCGGGCTCAAAAGGGTCTCATCGCCGTCGTAGGGGGAGCGGAAGCGGACGCCTTCCTCTGTCACCTCGGACAGAGACACCAAGGACACCATCTGGAAGCCGCCGCTGTCCTGGGGGAAACCCCACCGCAGGGCTGTCACGGGGTGGCGACGGGGGACCCCTCACTCCAGAGAAGCGTCCTCGGATCCCGGCCCTGACCCCACCTCACCGTCAGCAGATTATGGGGCCAATTCATGAAGCCGTGGAGACCGTGGGCTTTCTGGATCAGCTCCGGGCCCTGCGTTGGGGGGAGAAAATATCAGTTTAGGGGCGAGCACGACCCTGGGGGCTCGTGTTGGAGGATGTGGCTGAAAGACCCGTGTCCCCGCTGCTCTCTAACGCCCAGCGCAGGGCCTGGACCACCAGGGGTGCGCAATACGGTTTGTTGATTGACTGTGGGAGGCGTGCCGGGGCCCGGAGGACGCCCCCTGCCTCCCCACGCTCCGCCACCGCCCCGCGCGGGTAGACCCCACCCACCGGCCTCAGACCCAGATGGTAGGTGTTGCCCAGGCAGATGCGGCAGCCCAGAGCGTCCAGCTGCTCGGCCGTGATGCCCTTCATAGTGGCCTGCGTGCCCACTGGCATGAACACTGGGGTGGCCACCGGCCCGTGCGGCAGCCGCAGCTCGCCCGCCCGGGCCCTGGAGCGGCTGCACTCGGCCACCAGCCGCATGATCCGCGGAGCCGAATCCAGGGAAGCCGGAGAGGCCGCCGCCGCCATCTTGACTGCCGGAACCACGTGAGCTGCGGAACCGCGTGGGCGGTGCCATATTGGCCTCGGTCACGTGACGCGCGTCCCGGCGTGAGGCCCTGGGAGAGCGTCAGGGAACCATGACAACGGACGTCGGCCCGGCTTATCAGCGCCCTAAATGGAAGAATCAAAATTGTTCTGTGTATAAATCCCCTTCCTGGCACTTTGTGCCGTACAATCAAAGCCTCTCTGAGCAGCGACTTGATCCTGCGCAAAACGTAGAGAATTGCATCATCTCCGTGTAAGGACGCTGTAAAGATTGAATGAGAACGGTGATCTCTACAGTGCCTGGCACAGGCTTTAGTCTTTTTTTTTTTTTTTTTTTTTTTTAGACAGAGTCTCGCTTGTTGACCAGGCTAGAGTGAGTGCCGTGGCGTCAGCCTAGCTCACAGCAACCTCAAACTCCTGGGCTCAAGCAATCCTTCTGCCTCAGCCCTCCGAGTAGCTGGACTAAGGCATGTGCCACCATGCCCGGCTAATTTTATATATATATTAGTTGGCCAATTAATTTCTTTCTCTTTATAGTAGAGACGGGGTCTTGCTCAGGCTGGTTTCGAACTCCTGACCTCGAGCAATCCGCCCGCCTCAGCCTCCCAGAGTGCTAGGATTACAGGCGTGAGCCACTGCGCCCGGCTTTTAGTCTTATCTTGATCATTGCTTTGTCCCAAGAGCTTAGAAAGGGACCTAGCAGACGGTAAGTGCTCAATAAACATTATTTAATAAAAGAATGAATGCTTTTATTTACAGATTTACAGAAGGGGAGGGTAAGACCCAAAACCTGACATTTATTCGTTCACCTATTTATTCAGTGTCCACCTGTATATGCATCCCCCACTAGCGCCAGGCTCCATGGCACACAGGGGTAAAGGAGGCGCGGTCACGAATTTATCGAGCGCTGTTTGTGTTCCATATATAACAACAATAGCTAATATTATATAACATACAGTAACCGTTCTCCTTGGAAATGGAGTAGATATCGTTCCTCGCCAGCAGAGAGCGCCACTGACCCAGAACATTGCCTCTCAGATAACAACGGTTCTAAAAGGCCAAAGATTTATGCGACCTGAAGAGAAACCAGAGTATAACTGTTTTAAACGGGGCTGCTCTGGGCAAAGACTAGCCGTCTAGGAACCGCAAGCTCCCTCTCCTGTAAGAAGTCTAATGATGCCAGTTTCCCAGGCTGGTGGAGCATCCACTGTGAGCACCCACCTGGAAAATGCCCCTTCAAGGAGGCCCACCTCAGGGCCTTTGCACTTGCTGTGGCTGTCTTCTGCAACATTCATCCTTTCTGAATTCCCCATGGATGGCTAATATGTTTCACTGCTGTTGCTGCACCTCAGGAAATTTTGACAGCCTACGCTAATGTCCAGAATACTTCTTTCAGGTGACACATGAGGTTTCATTGAAGGAAAAAAAAAAAAAAAACCACTCCTGGCTGGATGTGGTGGCTCACACTTGTAATCCCAGCACCTGGGGAGGCTGAGGCAGTGATGGATTGAGCCCAGGAGTTTGAGGTTGTAGTGAGCTATGATCAGGCCACTGCACTCCAGCCTGGGCAACAGCGACGCCCTATCTAACAAATAGGTAGACAGTTAAACCAACCACTGCTTATTTATACATTCTCCAGTCAATGGATTCATAGATTTGTGGATTTTGTTTTATTTTGTTTGGTTTTCTGGTTACCATAAACAACACTGCTGTGACCATTTGTGCATGGACCTCCTTGCACCCCTTTGCAAAATTCCTAGTAATGGAATTGCTGGCCCCTAGACCTGGTGTATATTCAATTGTACAAAGCAGGGCCACCTTTTTTCAATGTGATTGCACCAACTGACACCCGCAAAGCAGCTTTAAAAAGCTCCTTTTGTATCACATCTTTGCCAACTCTTGGTATTTTCAGAACTCTTAAATTTTGCCAGTCAATTCTGTGTGAAACGGTGTCTCATTGGGTTTTTAATTTGCATTGCCATGATTCCAACTGGGGCTGAGCATCTTTTCCCATGTGTGAATCATTTTTGACAAATTTCAATACTCAGCTTAGGTGATTTGGCAGTCAAATTCAACATGGAGGCTGGGTGCGGTGGCTCACACCTGTAGTCCCAGCACTTGGGGAGGTTGAAGTGGGCGGATCACTTGAGCTCAGGAGTTGGAGGTTGCAGTGAGCTATGATGATGCCACTGTACTCTAGCCTGGGTGGCAGAGCAAGACCCTATGTCAAAAATAAATAAATAAATAAATAAATAAAAGAAAAATTCAGTATGACTGAACTACCAATCACTTCTTTTCTTAATTTACTGTTTCAAATTTTGTAAATACATTTTTCAGGTGGACCATTAATACAAAATGGTTGTCTTTGGGGATTGTGATAACAGTCTTCACTGAACTTTACTGCACTTTTATGTTTTTTGCAGTTTTCTGTATTTTTACTATTTCACATTTTAACGTGTGCAGCATATTCAGAAAGTGTGTGAAAGACAAACTCGCTCTTCCCCATCCACCCAGTTGCTACCTCAGACTTTCTTGTAGCATGTTTTATTAGATTCTTGTGTCCTTCCAGTATTTCTTCATGCAAACAGAAGCGAATACAAAGCTAAAACCATATATGTAGCCCTTTTACACAAAAGGAGGCTTCTAGTTACCCTGGTGGGCTGCACCTACCTTTCTGTCTGCACCTTGGAGACCATCCCATGAGTGAAGGCGAACGCATCTTCCATCTCTGATACTAATCCATCATGGTGGGTTTTTTTTGTTTGCTTGCTTGTTTTTAGTTTTTGGTAGAGGAGAGGTCTTCTCTATGGTCATATCATGCTAAATGCCCAATCTTGTCTGATCTCGGAAGCTAAGCAGGGTCAGGCCTGGTAAATACTTGGATGGGAGAAGGGGTCTCACCATATTGCCCAGGCTAGTCTCAAACTCCTGGGGGACTCAAGTGATCCTGTCTCCTTGGCCTTCCAAAGTGCTGGGATTACAGGCATGAGCCACTGCATCCTGCCAGCATGCTGACTTCTGATTGACCCCTGTTCTGGGAATGCCTCTAAGATTTCTACTTTATCTACTGTTACATAAATCCTGTCATTAGATGGGAACAACCTTGACCATAAATCCTGCCCTTAGGCAGATGCACACAGCACTCTTGCCTTTCCTTGAGGGGTGATTTCAGTTGGGCTGCACACTGCTTCCCTGCAATGTGTGAGCCCTGGACATGGGTTCTGTTTGTAAATCCCAATGAAATGTTTCTTCCTGAGAAATTGCTTATGTCAGCCTCTTTCTTCTGCTTCTCTGCTTCCCAGGCCTTTAGGGGTAGGCCTGGATAAACGGGCTCACCGGGGAACATCATCTCAGTGCATGGTCTTTTTGTTTTTTCAACAGCTGCCTATTATCCCAAAATATGAGTGCACTAGAATCACCTATGGACTGCTCTGTTGATTTTCACTTGAGTTGTAATTATTTATTTTGAGACAGAGTCTCACTCTGTTGCCAGGGCTAGAGTGCCATGGCATCAGCCTAGCTCACAGCAACCTCCACCTTCTGAGCTTAAGTGATCCTCCTGCCTCAGTTTCCCAAGTAGTTAGGAATACAGGCCCGCACCACCACACCTGGCTAATTTATTCTATTCTTAGCTGTCTGGCTAATTTCTTTCTATTTTTAGTAGAGATCAGTTCTTGCTCTTGCTCAGGCTGGTCTTGAACTCCTGAGCTCAAGCAATCCTCCCACTTTGGCCTCCCAAGTGCTAGGATCACAGGCATGAGCCAAGTGGACCCATTCTGCTCAAGAGTCAACTATAACCCAGGTGTGGTGGCTCATACCTATAATCCCGGTGCTTTGGGAGGCTGAGGTAGGAGGATCACTTGGGGCCAGGAGTTTGAGATCGGCCTGGGCAACATAGTGAGACCCCATTTTTACAAAAACAAAAACAGAAATGTAGGTGATTCCAATATGCAACCAATGTTGACTTTCAGTAGTTTAAGTTCCAAAAATAGCATTTTATTACCTCACCAGATCTGAGAATCTTTGTCCTTTACAGGGCACCCTTCTCATCGACCTCTCACCTGTTCACAACTCTTGATTACCTGAACCCTCAGTTATGTTGCAGGGAATCCTCTGGACTTCGGAATGCGATCACATGATTGGATGGCTGGCTGGTTGGATTAATGGTTGCCTGAACTTGCTGTTCTGAAACTGCTACAGCCTCTGCTTCTTTGGCTACCTAACACCTGACCACCCTGGCCTGCCGTGTCTAGGGAATACGGTATCTGTTAAGGCCAAGGCTACCTCTTGCAGAGGGTGCCATCGCCAGACACTTTCCCAGCCCTCACTGCAGGGAAGAAGCACAAGGCTTCGTGTCTGCAGCGCGACCTGGTACCAGGGTGGGGCCTGCTTAGCAGAGCGTCCAAGGAGGTGAGTTCTATCATTCACCCAGAGGTAACCCGAACCGGGGATAGGGCGCAGCGGAGGCTCAGTGGCACCTACTTGAGGATGTTGGGTCGGCTCCCCTGGGGACGTCGTGGGCCGGCTGCTGGAGGCGGCAACTGGGGCACGGGTTCAGCACGGCGGACAGCGCTGTAGCGTTGCCTGGAGACCCAGGACGCAGCGCCCTGGGGGCGTGGCTGCCGGATGTCCCTGTAGCCTTCGAGCGCTCCACGCATTGGGCGACCAAGCAGGGGCAGGCCCTGTGACTACGTCCTATTAGGAGAAATTGCCGACGGCGCTCAAAGACCAAGAGCGAGGCATTCAGAGAGCGGGACGCGTTAGGGCGGAGTCTGCGAAATCCTACTAGGAGGCGACGTGTTAATTTTGAACAAAAGGGGTGGTAACCACGGGCTGCCTGGGAAGTTTCACAAAGGCTTTACTGCACATGTGGGGTCAGGATTGGGAACTACTAGACTCCCAACTTGCCTTTTCTGGGACCTTCTATGGCTGTCCAGGGGAGCTCTAAACCACGGAATAGGAGAGCTTAGGGAGTGGGTCCTGAGGTCCGGGGACCCACACAGGCAGGACCTGAATTTCTGATCACTACAAATCGGCGTTGGGGTTGGACACAGGGGTCCTGGAGCCTGAAGGCTGCTTGCTGCAGCTTGTGCGACTTTGGTGTGGGGCTGACCCTCTGCGGTCTGCTCCCCCCTCCCACCTCCACAGCCAGGCTGCCACGGCCCCGGAGCACAGGCGCCAGCGCTTACTAGGGCTTGTGATCTCAGGGGATGACCTCCACAGCGACTCCCTGGACAGTCCTGGGACCCCCCCTTCCATACAAGGGGATGTCCCTCTGAGGCTCAATATGGGCCATGCAGTTTTGAACCCTCTCCGTGCTGGAGCTGTTCCCTTACCTAGTCCCGTGCACCCTGCACCTAAAATCAGTCAAAGCTCAACTCCAGTGTCCCAGACCTCAGGCCTCTCTGCTGGTCTCCCGCCCCCTTCTCACCCCCAGCACACCTCTGCCCAACAGCCCCAAGAACTGTTGTTAGGCATAATTTGGCCTGGGGTCTTCCCAGCTCAGAATCCTTCCACGGCTCCCCACTGCCCTCAGAACACTGGCCCCCAGCCCTCTGCCTGGCCCTGCATTTGATGCCGCTCATTCCCATGCTGGCCTCTGGGCAGGATCTCGCCGCTCCCTCCTTTTTAGTCCAAAATGCTTCTCCTGCACCCCTCCCCCAACTTCAGCTTGTTGAAGTCCATCTCACACCCAGCTGAACTTCCCCTCATGCGGGCACCCTTTCCCGGCATACCTGCCACCCTCCCAACACACCAGGCTCCCACTCACGCACTGTCCCCCTTGAGAGATGGAAGTCTTCCTGGACACTTCCTGCTCCGCTGGGACAGAGCTCCCCCATGAACAGGGACCCAGTTCACCTTCACACTCTCAGCACCCAGCGCAGAACCTAACACACAATTACCACCCCATAAACACATGCCGAGAAAAGAAACGATGCACACACACGAAGTCTTGTTTATTCCGGGAAGGGTTAGAGCGAGCATGTGGCCTGCAGGAAGGCTGGCTGTGTCGCTGCCCAACATCGCTTGCAGAGGCCTCAGTTTTGTGCAGTGCTCGGCCAGGGCGGGGCCCACACCGTGCTGCAGGGACCAGGGACACACAGTAGTCCTTCAGGGCAGGGCCCCCGACTGCATCAGGAGGGTCAGTGATCACAGCAGAATTTCCCTGCCAGGGGAAGGGGGCCATCAGGCAGCTGGTGGGTGACCCCCAGGTCCGACCAGGTCCCAGCCCAAAATGATAACCAGGCCCCAGCAACTGCTAAATGCAGGGCAGTGGAAATGCTGCATGTGTGACCCTCGTGGCTCAGGGGCCACCCTTGGTCCCAGGTCACCAATTCCCAATACTTGCCCCTGGAATCTGTCCAGATCCCCTACAAGGTCCTGCCCTTCCCTCCCTCATCCCAGCCTGCCACACATGTCCAGAGCCCTCTTGGCCTGTGCGCCCAGTCCCTGGTCACTGACCCCACGGCCTAGCCACCAAGTACCCCGTCCTGAACAACTTGTCAGGCAAGTGTGGGCACCCTGGCCTTCCTGCTGATGCACCCAGTGTCCACCCCTGGTGGCCAAATGATGCAGGACACCATCCACCCGAAGCATGCTGGCCAAGGTGCCTCTTCATCATAAGCCAGCGGCTGCCCACCTGCTGCTGGGCTGAGGGGGACCTCCCCCAGGTCAGCTTCCAAGGTTTTGAAGGGAACTGGCCTAGAAGGCCTTCAGCAGTGCTCAAGTGACAGCCACATCTTCTGAACCCAGCTTCCTGGTGTGGCAGTTTGCAAGGGCTGGGACACTGCCACTGGCCAACTCTATCACGGCACCATCGGCCCCAGCGAGTGGAGTTAGGGCACCAAGGATGCTCACAAGATGTCCCCTTGGGAGGGTGCCTGACGGGCCACAGATTCTGAGCGGGGAGGGGGTCCCTTCCCCTGTCCTGGGTTAGGATTCGATGTGGCGGTGGTGATCGAAGCTGAACACGGGTGCCTGCCTCGAGTTCGGAGGGACTTGGCAGGTGGGGCTGGGGTCTGTTCCTCCTCCGTGTCTGGCTGGTGCAGCCTGTATCCTCTCACCTCAAACGCAAGGTCTGATGCTCGTAGGCATTTCTTCTTGTCCCATCCCTGGTCACATCTGGGGGAGCAGAGGGGACGTGAATACTTCCCATCAGTCAGGGTAGGATCGTCCCTCAGGTCTGTCCTCTTATCCCTCCACTGCTGGGCTGGTGAAATCCCAGAGCAGCTCAGGATGACTCCAATTTCTGCATCATGGGCCACCTTTTTCCCAACTGTCGCTGGGCTGAGCCACTTGGTATCTGGGACCTCCTCTCCTCTGCTCTGGCAGACAGAATTCCTCCAGTGTTTCCTTCTCTAGTGCAGAGGCCCTTTCTTCCACCCTCCAAAAAGACAGACGTTTATCCTCTGAAAGATATTTATCCGCTTGACCTTCTGCTTCATCTGACTGTGAGCAGGGTCCTCGCTTCTGCCAGCAGCCACGGTTACCCAAGCACGGGAGGCCAAGGGGCCGTCTACAGCCAAGGGCCCACGACAGCGCCTGGTCTATGGGTGGAGAGGTGGCTTCCGAGCACTGCAGGCAACTGGCAAGAGGTGCTGCGTCCCCGCAAAGGTGAGGTTGCAGGCCTGCTGTGCAAGGCTCTTCCCAGACAGGCCGAAGCAGCGCCTGGGTAAAGGCAATCCTATTACTGCCCCTGTAAACCGTGCCCCCTCCCTCCCTAGGCAGGGTGAGAGCCGAGAAGGAGCCACGGCAGGGTACAGTTTCTCCACCTGTGTGCGCCACATTTTGTCACGCATGGTTCCACGGTGTGTGCACTGCTCTGTGCAGGGCAGATCTTTAGCAGTGTCCTTGGCCTCTACACACACACACACGAGATGCTGGAGCACTGCCTAGGGGTGACAAATGTCCTCCAAACATTGCAAACCTTCCCCTGCGAGGCAACACTGACCCAGGCTGAGAATCACCGCTCTAGGGGACATCTGCTGGAATACGTTCTGGCAACTGCAAAGAGCCTCAGCTGCCCTCTCTGTGAGCCCCTGGTGGCGCGGCGCCGGGGTCCAGGCTGCGGCACAGACACAAAGCTCCACACGGGCACAGATGATCCGCAGCTGGGGTTTACCCAGGTCGCACCTGCCCTTGTCAAATTGGGTTGAGGTATGGATTCTACAGGGACATTTCACTCCATGATGATGAGAAATTGCACTTAAAAACTACGCCAGAATCAGGGAGCAGAAAACAAAGCTTGCCTGAGTTCTGTGATCGGACCTCAAAGACCAGCGCGGGCCACTGTACACAACCGCACAGACGACAGGCGGTACAGAGCCTGTTGGGACACTGTGTCCACAATATCCCAGGTGACCAGGCAGCTCGTCTTTGCCAAGCACAGAGGAAAGGTGTCTAGAGGCCTGGAGGTGGACCCTCCCTGGTGACTGGGGACTATCCTGCCAGCCCACCCTGCTTTCCCGAGAGAGGGAACAGAGCGGGGGGAACCTGCCCATCCACCGCTGGTGGGTCAGACACCCAGGCCTAAGACAGGCGCGGTTTTCTTTTTCTTTTATTTGTCTACATTCATCTTAATTCAGATGTACTGCCTGAATGACCCAGACATACAAAAAAACCCCCACTCTTTCCCACTGGTTTTTAAAATAAAATCTTCACTTATAAAACTGAAACACTAAAGCATTAAAATACAGAAAGCTCGTTTAACTCACTTCACAAAAGCATGAACAGATGACGTATCCCTTCCGTAACTATTTAAAGACAAACTGAGTTAACACGAACACCAATTAATTGTAAATAGACAGAGGGATACTGAACTGCAGAACGCAAAACTCTACCCAGACAAAGTTGTCATGGCAACTAACAAACCATTGAAGACACGGAGTCCCAAACACGGCTAAATAATGGGTCACAGGACAGGCCACGGAGGTGACCCGCTGCACCTCACAACACAGCAACGTGGACGGGGTGGGGGCAGGGCCTGGAAGGGCCGGTTGACATGTTAACTGTGATGCATAAAACTGGATCTTCCAATGGGGAGTAAGTGCAGAAGGTACAAATCTCCGCCCCGCGGGGGCTTATCTGTACTGGTAGTTCATGCTGTGGTCTGCGTTTCTGCCGTAGCCGCCCTGTGACGACTGGTAGGAGCTGGGAGGGCCACTGTAGTTCTGGCCGGACCCTGGGGAGTTGTAGTTCGACTGTGACGAGTAGCCTCCTAGGAGAGAGAGGGGCGGTTAGAGCCGAGACTCGGACCTGCCCGGCCACCAGGGCTCAGGACCTCAGTCCAAACCCGAGCCACAGACGGTGAGAACACAGGTGGGCAGACTTGTGTCTGCTCTAACTTTGCTAAGTGTCTGTCACACATCATCAAGTCTGTCACCAACACCGTGAGAGGTGGGATCACAGCTAGCTGTGATCCTAGCTTCTGGGAGAAACTGTGGCTTGGGACTGCCTCATCAAGGTGCTGAGCTGCTGGCCCGAACCACAGAGCACAGCCCTGTTTGCCTCAGTGTCATCTACATTTCAAGCAAGTGCCAGTGTTTAAGACTGGGGACACTGTACGCCTCTGGCTTCTCCTGAAAAGTCTGAGCAGCTGGCGGAGTGCCTGAGCCAGTGTTCTCACAGGTCCCCAAGTGGAAGCCAAGGTACAACTGCCACTGTGGCCCTGCCCACGCTGCTCTCTGCTCCCACCAGGTCCACACCCCACCTCAAAGCATCTGTCGGGCCCCCTGTGCTGTGCCACCTGCGGCTCCAGGCCCACCTTGTTTGCCTTGGTATGAGGAGCCGCCCCCAGAACCTCCGCCGTAGCCCCCGTGTGACCCCGGGTTGTAGGATGCCCCGCCTGAGCCGTAGCTGTTCCCGCCGCTTCGGCCTCCACTACCACTGTAGTCTGAGGGAGAGAAGACAGGGTGGTTAAGGGGCCTCGGGAAAGACACGGCTGGGGCGGCCAGGGGCCTCATGGTGCACCCTTGGGTGTGGCAGGCCCTTGGCCCAGACACTGTGCAGAGTTCCCTGTCTGCTCAAACGCGGCCTACGTCAGCCCAACAGAGATGTGCCAGGGGCCTGCCACAGCCCTACAAGGTCACCTTGCCATAGGCCTGGATGGTCACCGAGCTCCGAAGCCAGCTGTCTTGCCTTCCCACCTGCTCCTCCACCCAAGCTTGCCAGCCCAAGACCAACAGCGGCCGCCTCTGCTCTCACCCGGCATCGCCGAGCACACGGCACCCCTCCTGCACCCACGCCCCAGCAGAGGTTCTGCGCAGCCTCCAGCCCGCTGCCAAACACGGTCCATCGGGGGAGTCAGCGCCCACCTCCTGTGCCTCCCCAGCCGCCGCTGTAGCCGTAGCCTACTGCTTCCGTGTGTGAGGCACAGGGAGCAGCGGAGGCGGCGACGGTCAGGCTCTTTCGGGGACTGGCTGCAACACTGTCTCTACAGCAGGTACCAGGTCACCTGACAGCCTCCAGCCCACACCTTAGCACAGAGGCCTCAGCCGCGCTCGCCTTTGGAGAAGGTGCTGGGGGTCCTGCCTCCTGGCTCTTCCTAACACCCGCCCGCAGCTGACACCCTGTCTGCCTCTTGTTCCCCAACAGTGCCACACTTCTGCCACTCCATGGGCTGCACCGCTGGGCCCACACCCTGGCCAGGCTGAGGGCGCTGGAAGACAACTCACTGAATTTGCTCTCATAGTTGTAGTCGGATCCGCCCCCGCCCCCGGGCGAGCTGTAGGAATTGGAGTACGAGGAGTAGTTGCCTTGTCCGTGGTTATAGCCTTTCTGCTTGCCCTGCGGGGGGCCGTAGTTGCTATACTGGCTCTGGTTGTACGACTGTTGCTGGCCCTGGTGGGACTGGTAGCCCGAGCCGTAGGAGGGCTTCTGCTGGCCCCCGTGCAGCTGTTTCTTCCCGGCGTGTTTTGGGGGCACCGGTGAGTTGTAGTTGTCACCTTGGTAGTAGGAACCGTAGCCAGAAGATCCGCCACCGCCCCCGCCTCCACCGCCGCCAGCATTCCCAGAATGCCCTCCGTTGCTGTAGAACTGACCTAAATAGGGAGGCAGCGGGTCAGGCGTAGCATCGGGAAGAGCATGAGGAGGGGAGGGGAAGGGAGGGAGGTCACAGCCATGGGCCCTGAAGGCTGACCTGCAAGCCTGCTGCAAGGAGGCAGCGAGGAGGAGGGAGGAGAGAGGAGCGGTGGCCCCGTCGTTACGTTATGGCAGCCCTGCTTGGGCGGCCCAGCCTTCAGCTCCACTCACCCATCAGCTGATGACAACAATGGGTCTTTGCCAAGCAGTGCACCACAGCAGCTTTTGCAGCGGATGTCAACATTACAATGAGATGGGCTCCGAGCGCAGGACGACATTCACGGCTAGCTGCTGGCTACCCAGATGTCCCCAACGGTGACAGAAAAAGCAAAGCCCCAGAAAAGCAGCGGGCTACCCCCTTCCTCCCCGCTGTGCTGGGAACAGGTTCAGAAGGCACAGGCCTGGGGACCCCAGGAGATGCTCTCTGACAAGGCCCCTAAGACTGTCAAGCATTCTCAGAAGACCAATTAGTCCAAGCTGGCTCTTAGAAGAGAAACAGGGACTTTGCCAATGCTACCGGGGCACCTTTCTGGTGTTATCTGTGCAAACACATGACTGAGGAGCAGGACAAGCCCCAGCCTCATGGGGAGGGAGACTGGCCAAGGCTGGGATCAGGACATCCAAGTGGGACCTCAAGCTATGGCCTTAGGGGTCCACGGCCCCTTCCTTATTCCCGGCACAGCTGCTGGGCACAGGAGGGACTAAGCAGCGGGACAGATGAGCGTGCAGTGTGGCCGCCACATTCTCAGGCCCGAAGTTGAGAATGTGACGGCAAGGCCTCTGCTTCTGGTCACTAGGTTAATAGGCAGCCCCACCAGGGACTCAGATGGACTGACAGGTGTCACTGGCTAAGGGAACGCCGCACAAGGAAACCCCAAGCCAGGGGTCACAGCAGCGAGTGTGGGCTCCAGCCTGGCGCAGCAATGCCCAGCATACAATAGGGCAGCAGGGCTCTTGGGCTCCCAGAGGAGGTAGGCCTGAGCATGTGACTGCCTCTGCCCAGGCAAGCTGGGGTGTCTGCCCAGCTAGGCCCAGGGTGGGTGGGAGGGCGAGGGGAGACCCCCACTGAGCTTGTCCTTCCCTCCCAGCCTGAGCAGCAAGGGTCCCGAGTCTGCAAGATGGGGCCATCTTGGGAGTCCTCACGTGCCTCCGCCCACTAGAGAAGTGCGCCATGGGCTGGCTGCACAGTAGTCTGCAGAACCGGTCTGCAAACTGTGTCGTGCAGGCAGGCCTTCTCCCCACCCCGCCGCCCCATCACAAAGCCAACACACCAAGGAGAAGGACATGTCCCACAATGCGAGAAAGCAAATGTGTGGAGGCTCAGTGAGGAGGCTGGGAGGACAGGGTCTTCAGAATCTCCCTCAGAAAGTCCCCCCCAGCCCCCAGCCCCCCAGCCCCCGCTTCCCCAGTGTCCTGCACTGAGCACACCACCTCGCCCCGCCTGAAGCCGGGAATGAATGAAGACGCAAGTACCGAGGCCTTGTTACTTTAACATGTATTGATTAAAAAAAAATAAAGGGGAGGGGAAGTTTTCAATGTCATTCAGGAGAACTATTTCCTGGTATAAAAAGACATTATTCTCAAACAATAACTTTCTAAAAAAAAAAATACATCATGCAATCAAAGTTTTAAAAAGTTTCACTGAATGTTTCAAAACTCTGGGAACAAATCATGTAGTAATCATTTTGACCGGTTTTTGCCTGAGTAACGCCAAATCTTGCAAGTCGACACAGAGGCAGGCTTTGCTGCAAAAAGTAGTGCTGACCAGAGCCAAAACCAGTTTCCAAAGAGGGCTCCCGCCAAAAACCAGGGCCCCAGTAAAGCACCGGGATGACCCTGTGTACCTTTACGCACAGGCAGAAGCTTCCAGGCCTCTGGAGTCTGTGGTAGCTGTGCACTCCGTGGCATATAGGCCCTGCCGAGGCCACAACTGGCTGGAGAAGCAGGGACATGTGTGGCTGTCTCCTTAGTTTTAAAGCTCCATTAAAAAAAAAAAAAAAAAAAATCCAGAATCCCACGCATTTGCAGTTGTAATTAAGACTTGCAAAATTTCACGTTACCTACCCTTTTAAGCCTGTCTGTTTCTTGCACTTATTATGGAAGCACAGTTTTGATACCTTTGAGAGTTCACTCTCTAGCTAAACCAGCCACAAAATATCGCATCCCCAAACAAGCACCCACCAGAGCATTTACAGAAGGCGGGAGAAGTTAACTCAGCGCAATACACAATTCCCCACAATCCCTACGATTTACATGCTCAGAAGAAAAAAGGAAAAAAAGCCAGTTGCTCTGGATTCAGATGTGATGAAACCGTTTTCATTACTGTCAAAGGCATCAACCAGATTTGGGAATTTGTTAAAAGGTTAAAAATTCATACAAAACCTGCTGTAAATTAAGACAAAGGTAGATTAAAATGCATCATTGTCTATCTCTTTAAATAAAGTAATGCTTTCCATAAAAAGCAAAGGTGGGCTTTTGCCTTGATGCTGAACAACGCTGGCTCTAGAATTCTGTGCAATTCTGCACAAAAATACATTCTCTGAAAAAATTGTTTTCCACTTATTGTGAACTTCAATATGACCAAGTTCAAAGGCAAATCACAATAAAAACTGCCATTGTCTTAAATTCTGCAGGCTAAGAGTTTCAGACAAGCTGCGGTGAAAAGCCACGGTTGAGAAACCCAGTGAAGCACACACAGGGACACAGCACGGACACTTTGGGTTTTGGAGTTGGAGGAAATTGGAGTAAAAAGTTGATTTTGTGTGCAATACTTTTAGACGCTCTAGGAAGACCCAAAATCATGATAGCCGTAGCAGTCTGTGAAAAAGTCACCTACAAAAGGGGGAGACAGAGCAGAGAGAAGAAATTAGAATTCTTTTGAAAAAGGGCACAGAGCGCCACATTTGAAATTCATGTTTTAGATTTCTCTGCTCCTGTAACCCCCCAATGAAGGCTCCTTCTCAAGACAAGAGCTGTGCACTATCACGAAAAGCGTATTCACAAGATTGGTGCTTCGCATGGCTTAAAGCAGAGAAATTTAAAATTCTGACTTTCCAGGAACCGTGCAGTCACACGAGCTCGTGTGCTAACACTTAAAGAAGCAGTCCCACTCTGTGGGATGGGGGCTCGAGGGCTTTCTGACCTAATCACCACAAAAAGGTTCACGACACACTCTGAAGCCTCCACGAGGCCGTTGCTGGCCGCCCTGCGCTAACTGGGCCCAGGAGCTAAGCTGCGGCTGCTTCCCAAGTCAGACAGAGAGAAACACACACTTACTGTAGCCCGCTGTCGCTGAGTTGCCTCCATACCCGTAGCTTCCATATCCAGCGCCTGGAAGGTGACAGACAGGGTTACCGGGAGTCAGCCCAATCCCAGGGGTCTCAGGGGCTTGAGGGAGCATGCAAGCAGGATGCACAAGGACAGTGCAGGACAAGGGCCCTCACCAGCATTCATGTAGCCTCCGTGGTTGGCGCCACCAAATCCTCGGCCTCGGCCTCGCCCTCGGATGTTGCCTCCTCGTCCCCGCCCTCGAAGGTTGGGGGGTGGGGGCACTTCATTGTGCATGGGGCCGCCCATGCCAAAGCCGGGGTTATGTGGCTGGATGGGAGAGAGCAGAGACAAGTCACCTTCCACTCACGCTATGACTGCAGGAGAACTGGTGCCCAGCCCAGAAGATTCTCAGGTAACTAGTTGCTCACCTTAGCAGCAAATTTCGGTCCACCTCTGACAGGAACGGGGGTTCTCTTCTTTTTGTTAGCATCGAGGGTAAGAGGGGTGTCAGGGAAAAGCTTTTCTAGTGCCGCGAGGGCAGCGTATGCCTTCGCCACCTTTTTGTTGGAACCAGCACCTTGGAATTTCTGGCCATCCACCTCCACCTGGAAAGGATGGACACATGTCAGGGATCAGGCACCCTTCGCTGGGCCAGTGTCCCAAGCAAGAGCCCCTCCCAACAAGCTCGGGGCAGCGTGCAGCGCTCGCTCACCTCCATGACGAAGCGCTTGTCGTGGCTGCCCCCGGTCTCCGAGATGAGCTCGTACTTGAGGCCTCGCCGCTTCTCGTTCAGCTCCATGACAGGGTTCTTGCCATGCTTTGTCAGGATCGGCCCCTGCTGTTTCACGTTCTCAGGGGAAAGGGCAAAGAAAACCAGCCACCTCAGCTAGGGCTTTCCAACCCTGTGTTCCCAGCCAGCCCTGGCCAGAGTTGCTGCTCACTGGCCTGTGAGCCTCCCAGCAATGCGACCCCCTTCCCCACGCTGCAGATAGCAGCAAGACCCTCTGCCACGGCTTGGGGGTGAAACCCTGGCTCCCTCTGCAGGCTCCTGGCCTGGAATGTCTACTCGTGTGTGGAAAACCAAACGCCTGGTAACTGCCTTGCTCATGGGCACAGGCCTGCGACCCTGTCCTAGCAGTTGCTCCCAGCGACCACCATGGGCTCACCTCGGCAGTGGCATCCGATGAAAAGGCAGCGCTGGGGGTTGAGACAGCTTCCACCACAGGGGTAGGGGCCACCACAGCAGGCTTCGACTCCGTCTCCTCTGCTGAATCCTCCCCCTTGCTCGAGTCCCTGCCCTCCGCGCCAGTCGGCAAGCCCATGTCCTGTAACACCTGCGGACACAGGATCCCCAGGCTCGGTGAGGGAGGGCTCAGCGTGGAGTCACCTGCGTGGGTTCTCCCCAACAAACAGGCCTCCCCGAGTACCAAATCCACCAGCGCCCAGGGCGGAATCCAGCGCCCTGGAGGACAGTGATTCCCTTAGCTCCCCATGAGGCCCCAACTGGACACCCTCAGCTCGTCAGCCTCAGTGAGGAAGGCATTTTTCTTGCCACATGTGACTTGGCAGGCGCCCACATGGCTGGCTAACCACTTGTGTTTCCAGGGTCTGCACGCCCTGCCCAAACCCACGGGCTCCACACTGAGGGCTTCCCTGAGGGGCGATGGCTCGGAAGGAACCCAAGATGAAGACGATGCTTCTGACGTTCAGGAGACACTGCCACTGCCACACTTACCTTAACGGCCACGTGCAGCTTGGCGGTCTTTTTGGAGGGCCCGGAGGCCTCAAATGAGTTGCCATCGACCTCCACTGACATGGTGAAGATGGGCGCGTGGACAGGCCCGGTCTGCGAGACCAGTTTGTACTGCAGGCCCGGCTTCAGCTGGTTCAGCCGCATCAGCGCATTCATAGCCTGGGGAGGCTCCGCCTTCTCCTCTGAAGAGGGTAGCAGATGGTTCTGGATAAGCACTTCAGGAGGTCTCTGCCCGAGAACGCTTAGTCGATTCTGAACACTAGGTGACTGCCTCTGTGGTGTGACGCAGGGGGCTACGTGGCTGCGTGCACATGACCTGGCCTGAGCATCCCTGTGACTACCAGCTGAGGTACCACCGTATCACTCATCTTACGCACCCATATTACATTTCACAATTGCTGACCGGACTTGAGAATTGTGTCCAAGAAAAATAAAGCAAAAGCAAGCATGGATCACACCACTTCAGGATGAACCTCATTGGTAGCCAGGCTGGGGGTAAAAGAAGTACTGCTGACAAACGTCTGTACCTTTCTTTTGAATCTTCTTCTTCTTCTTGCTGGGAGACTTCTCCTCCCCATCCTCCTCCATCGGGCGTTTCATGGGCGTGATGGCGTAGGTGGTGCTGGGTGGGATCTGAACTGCAGGGAGAGCAGGCAGAGGCGCTGAGGATGCAGGTGGCTGCCCCACCAAGCGCCCCAGCCACCGCACACCACCACGGGCTTACCAGTGTAGTCCACTGGGTTTTCATTCTTTGGTTTCTTGGGCATCTTGGAAGGCAGAGGGTCCATACCCAGGACTTTGTAGAGCTGGCCAAATGCGGCGAGTCGCAATGCGTGCTGGAGAAGGGGAAAAGGAGTCTGACTCAGCTGCCCTGCACTCAAGGCCAAGTCCGTGTGCTCACTAACGCCTTCTGAGGAGGGGCAGGAGCTGAAGGGCTGCTAATGGTCTCCCCTACAACAGCAAGGGGTCCCCCAACAGCCAGGGGAGGGCCTGGCTGCTCGGGCCCAGCCTTGCTGTAGGGGCAGGCCAGCCTGTGACCACCCCCCTTTGAGAGGAATACAGGAGACCCCAACCTGGGGACTGGTTGCCACACGGAGCCACGTGGTGGGCCTGCAGAGGGAGAACCCCCAGAGCAGTCCACACGACAAACACATCTGCCCGCTGAACTCGGTGTCTGAAAACAGCACTCGAGCAGGCCAAGGGGGCAGACGACAACAACACATGGCGCCAGGGGAAAGAAGAAGCCCAGATTGGGGCACCCTGTATCAGACACAATCCCTTCACCTCAATCCCCAACCTGAGCCTGCAAGTCCAGGGGCTGCTCTGAGAATACCCAGTAATGGAACTGGAAGCCAGTGAGTACAGACTGGGTAAGGGCTCACGTTGGCAATGGCGATGACTATACCTGCGCACTCTGTGTGATATCTTCCCGTTGCTGTCTGTCTAGATGCCCAATAGCATCAGTGGCTTCTTTTTCACAAGGGTCATAAATGCCAGAACCATCTGAAGGCAGGAAACAAGGAAGATATGCAGAGGATTATCTTTTAGCATCTCGGAAGAGTTGTGCTGGCTGAGGGAACCAGGTGCGTTACCCCCCACGCCCCATCCACACCCAGCTCTGGAAAACACGCCGAGCTCGGTGACCCACTCAGCGTCCAGCCCTTGACAGAAATAATCCACATGTGTCTCAGAGCAAGAAAGTCACGTGGGAGTGGGTCACCACTGCCCCCGGATCCGCCCTCCGAATCACGGCTGCGGACCCGGCACAGGGCTGGATATGATGGTGCAAGAGGGTAGCCACATGCTTCAGCCCTACAGGGGGTGGACACAGAACTGCTGCTGCCCTAACCCAGTCACTGGACCAGCGAGGAAGCGGCCTCGGGGCCTTGATCCCTGTCCTTGCCCTGCCACTTGCAAAGCACAAGGCCCCAACCTGGCATCACGATGCCCGACGCCAGGCACTCCAGCACTCTCCGCAGGGCCTCGCCGGCCCCCATGGGTCTGTTGGCTGTGCCGATGGATTTCTCACACAGTAGCTCGAGAGGCTGGAAGAGAAAGGAGACAGTGAGCCACAGTCTGAGAGATGGGGTTGGCCAACACTGGGGAGCTGTCGCTGTGTGTGTCTAGGGGGGCGCCCAGGACTCACAATCATCCAGTCTTGACAAAGCCAAAGCCTGGGGGCTAAACCAAAGCCAGGGCACTTGGAGCAACAGCCAGCCAACCTTTCCTTAAGGGCCAGACATGAAATCTTTTAGGCTGTCTGGGCCCAGGGGCAAAGCTGAGGCTGGGATATAGGTATTTATATTTAAAATGTAAATGTTTACAAATACAAAACCATGAATAACTGTACACTGGAATAAAATCAGCTCATCAGAACTTGCCCGTGGGCCCTAGGTTGCTGGCAGCATCTACAAACACTTCTTCAGGGAGGGGATCACTGCCTGCGTGTCCTCTACACAGGGCCTGACCCACCCTGATACCTGATACCCCACCAACGGTGTGGAACGCAGCAGCTGCTGCTTGATAAGCAGCTCTGAAGGGTACAGGTTGGCCACACCTCAAAGGGCTGCTCCTGTCTAGTCACCATCAAATATTCCTGGCATATGGGAGACGGTCTTTGCACTCAGATCCTCTGGTGGCCATAGTGACAAGGCGGCTTACCCAGCCTCGGAGGGGACCCCAGGTGGGCACACGGGTGCATAGGTCCCTCAGGACCCGGATGACAATGACACACGACTTCAGCCCATTGGCTCTGGCCTAGGGGAAAAAAAGCACAGGCTCTTTAGGCTAAGGCACCTCCCCGATCACAGGCCAACATGAAAAACACAAGTCTCACGATGCTGCTTTGCCAAGGGTAAGCGGCCAATGGTCATGACCACCAAGTGTGTGGCCAGCAGCGATTCCACTGCGTACACAAAAAGAATGTTACTCTTAACACAAAGCAGCAGCAGCCCACCGACTCAGTCACAGCCTCCTTTGGGGGTGTCAATTTGTGGATGTGCACTCCTTTAGCAGCTGCAGGTCTGCAGGCGCTAAGTTCAGCACAGCTACCGTCAATGTTTAAGAATTGTTATGGTAAAAGTTAGCCAAGTTACAACTTAGGAATGCTCTACCAAAAGACAAATAGAAGAACAAAATGCAAACCTGGAACCACTTGGCGTGTCGGAGGGACGCCAAGGCAGCAAGGCATTTCTGCCTGTCCAGAACGTCCGGGGGATCGTTGACTGATAGCGTTTCTATTCATGGATGGAATAAGAAGACAAGGCACAGTTTGACCAAGGGGTTTCTGTCAGGTGGAAAGGGGATGTGGCAGCGACCTAAAGGGCAGCTGAGTTTCCCAGAAGCTGAATTCATCTCCGCCCTTGACCAGGGAAGGAGAAACTAGAGTGCATTGAACTCTGCCCTGAGAGGAAATCACAAAAATCGGAGGCCCCCTCCAGAAAAAAACAAAACAAAACAAAAAAGTGGGAAGTTATTCTGAACGGGATAATCTCATGGGGGAGGGGGAAAGATAGGTGGATCCTATCTTCTAATAGACTGTTCCCGAGCCTCCTCCCCATGTTCTCCCAATAAATAAGCTATGCTAAAATTTTTGATAGGAAAAAATAAAAAAAAGGCGGGGGGAGTGGAAATGAACTCCCTCTCTGCTTCCCACAACAGCCATCCCGAGGCATCTGCGGCAAAGGGGACCACCTCCGCCCACCAGGTGGGACTGCCCTAGCCCCAGCCCGTGACAGAGAGAGTCCTGTTGGTCAAAGGTCCAGAGTCCCTAAATTGATAAACTAGAAGGGCTTTGGTAGTCGGAATCAGATATGAGTCAGAACCGAAGGTAATGAACAGAATAGCAACAAGGGCACTAAGCCAGCCTCTGCTGCAGCCCAACTGGAGCGCTCGTCTTCTCTGCTATCTGTGTGTCAGGGATTTGGATAAGGCCTGAAAAGAGGCACGTGAGGGGCCCGGGTGGACTATGAATGGTGAACGCATTATCAGCGTCTTAGGTCCAAAGATGTGGTTTGGAAAAAACTCGTACAATTGTTTAAAACTTTATCCAAAACTCTGTATCAGCTCTTCGTGTTTCTGTCACTCTAGCCGATTAAAAGCACCAATGAAACAAGAAACACGAGGCCCTCAGTTTTGCTGCAGCACAAGCTGTTTGTACAACTCCAATGTGATGCTCATGCAGAAACCGTCTGGTTGTCGTCAATCATTTAAAAACCATAAAATTGCCAGGGACACACTTTTGCAAGGCCAGAGAATGGCTCAACAGAAAAACAAGTTCCACACTTATGTCTGAAAACATTCAAGGATTAAGATAAAAATGGTGCAGTCCCCTATGAAAAGTGCTACTCACTTTTAGTGCAACTGTTTTGTCAAACTCCCAAGTACTCAATCAAAGCCAACGGGAGATGTGATCTCAGAGTAAAGGTGGTCAAATCTACACCACTAGCCTTTTACCAAAGCAATCTAAAACTGAATAGCACATTTGAATAGTGAGGGAACACCACCTTTTCAAAGTCCTGCAGGCCTGTCTCGGCCTCCCTACCTCCAGCTAATACTTTTTCCATTTCTTCTCTGACAACAGGGGATGTCAGGTGGATGGTCAGAGATAACGGAGGCTCTTTTGTGTTTTTTATCACAATTGCAGCATCATCGACAGATTGCAGTATTTCGTACTTGTCTTCTGTTACAGCCTAAAATAGAAAACGAAACTTTCAAAACACTATCTTAAGGGGCCGGGCACGGTGGCTCACGCCTGTAATCCTAGCACTCTGGGAGGCTGAGGTGGGCAGATTGCTCAAGGTCAGGAGTTTGAAACCAGCCTGAGCAAGAGCAAGACCCCGTCTCTACTAAAAATAGAAAGAAATTAATTGGCCAACAAATATATAGAGAAAAAATTAGCCAGGCATGGTGGCGCATGCCTGTAGTCCCAGCTACTCAGAAGGCTGAGGCAGGAGGATCGCTTGAGCCCAGGAGTTTGAGGTTGCTGTGAGCTAGGCTGATGCCATGGCACTCACTCTAGCCTGGGCAACAAAGCGAGACTCTTGTCTCAAAAACAAACAAACAAAAATACTATCTTAAGGCAATCAATTCTATCTGGTCCACCAAATCCTGCAGCAGAAAGGCCAATTTTTTAGGTGTCATATCCCAGGAGTGCCTTCCTTTGAGCCACCATGATTTCCCTTCTAGTTGGCCAGGTTATAGGCCGTGATCTGGGTACTCCAGAGAGGGGATGACTAACTGCAGTGAGAAGTGACGTCCATGGGAGCTTTAAGATATAATGGGGGCTGGTCTGATGGTAGTGGGTCATCAGAACTTATTAACATTAGTGCCACTAAAGTTGGTATTCAACCCCCTCTCACTGCTAAATTTGACTGGCTTTAAAAATAATTTAAAAAAAAAAAAAAGAGAGAGAGAGATAATGGGGAAGAGTTTAGGATCCAAGAGGAGATCAATCTCGCCCTTTTGCCACTTAGTAGATAATTTTGGATAAATCAAACTCATTAAGATTGAGGTTTCTAATTTGTAAAATGAACTTAACAGCACGACCTACGCCACAAGCTTCATAAAGCTTCGATGGACACTGCACAGGAAGCAGTGTCCACTGCAGAGTGGGCACCCAGCCACTGCCATTTCCATGCCAGTATGAGTGGCCGGACAGGGTGGAATGGAAACCGTGTGCAGCAAAATAGCCTGTGTCCTATGACACACGTAGAGCACACACTTGCTGCAAATGCATGTCTACAAGGAAGCCCGCGACAGTGTGACTTGGCAAAGAAAATTCAAGCTTTTATTATTTTGTTAAAGGAAACAAAATAAATATCATGGGGGGAGGACAAATGTGTTGGAATGTCTAAATGAGAATTTTTTAACATCAGCATAACTGACTTTCTGGGTTGGATAATTTTCAGTTTGGGGTGGGTAGGGGCTGCTCTGTGCATTACAGGGTGTTTTGGGTTTTGCTGGAGATGGGGTCTCACTATGTTGCCCAGGCTGGAGTGCAGTGGCTATTCATAGGTGCCATCATGGTGAACAACAGCCTTAAATTTTTCAAGAGATCCTCCTTCCTCAGCCTCCCGAGTGGTTGGGAGTACAATGCACACCACCATACCCTCTGTACCCACTATAGGGTGTTTAGTAGCACCCCTGGCCCCCACCCACTAGGTACTAGTAACAGTGACCCCCATTGTTTCCAGACACTGCCCAACGTTCCTTGGGGGGAGGGGGGTGACGACGATGGAGGCAAAAAAAAAAAAAAACACGTCACAAACCATTAATGAAAAATTATATGCCCATTCTTTTTATCTTTAAGGAATGATTCTTTACACAAGTTGTTTTTCCTTTAGAAACATTTACACCAACTTGTTTCACTTAATATACTTATCACAGATAAGGATAATTTAATCATTTTTGGTAAAAATGGAAAATTTTAAGGATTCGCCTTAAATAGTTCCTTGTAAGTAAAGTAGCTAACATACATTACCTCCACTTTCTGATCTTTGTCCTGAACCTCAAAATTGTCAGTCACATGTGACCAAATCCCTGTTTACATATGAAAGTGAATCAGGTTTTTCTTTCTAAGGAATGTCTTTCTTCTTTTGCTTGTCCTGTAGTTAAATCCAGGCGACTGCGTACTGACGAGGCAGCGCCTGGCAGAGGTTCTGACACCTCCCAATGCCCCACCTGTGGGTCCCAGGGTCAATGACCCAGCTGCCCTGCAACTCAATCACACCTAGGTACTACTTAGATGAGTAAGAAATAACACAGGTGAAGAGCATGCCTGGCCTAGGGCCTGGCTGGCATAGTATATGCTCAATAAATGCCAGAGGCCACTATTTTTTTTTTTTTTTGAGACAGAGTCTCACTCTGTTGCGCAGGCTAGAGTGCCGTGGCATCAACCTAGCAACCTCAAACTCCTGGGCTCAAGCAATCCTCCTGCTTCAGCCTCCCAAGTAGCTGGGACTACAGGCACACGCCACCATGCCCAGCTAATTATTTTTTTATATATATATATTTTTAGTTGTCCAGATAATTTCTATTTTTTTCAGTAGAGATGGGGTCTCACTCTTGCTCAGGCTGGTCTTGAACTCCTGACCTCGAGCAATCCTCTGGCCTCAGCCTCCCAGTGTGCTAGGATTACAAGTGTGAGCCACGAAGCCTGGCTGAGAGGCCACTATTTATGCATTACTTTGGTAATGAAACAAATGGGTAGGCAGGTAGGTATATATGTATTATTTAAAAAGAAATGACCTTGGTGTGACAGGCTGGAGTGCAGTGGTATCATCATAGCTCACTGCAGTTTCGAACTCCTAGGCTCAACCAATCCTCCCACCTCAGCCTCGCAAAGTGCTGGGATTACAGGCGTGAGCCTCTACACCCAGCCTAAAAACAGATTTTGTTTTTATCCAGGTTTGATCAGGGAGGCAAACCTAATGACTGCACTATCTATCTAATCACCCACCCAACAAAGTTTGGATATAAAGTTCATACCCAATGATGACCTCGGCCTCCTACAGTCTGGTGCACGGTGGGCACTGGGTCCCTACTGGCCGGCAGAGCACTGGGTAGCACCACAGTTTGTCGGCCACTTTCCACAGAACCCCAGCAGCTCTGTGGTAGCCTGCCTGTGCCCTATGAGAAGGTATGAGCACTCCAGTCCAAGGGGGAGTTTGTGTGTGTTTCCTGGTGCATGGCAGATTGGGGCTCTCTTCCTCTGCCCCATGTCCTTGATTGACAAGCACACCCCCCATGCCCCCACCCCACCCATCGGCAGCGGTCACACTTACAGCGAGCTGGATGGCCAGGTTGTCAGCCACCTTGTCCAAGAGGGCAGTTGTGGGCTTCTCTTTACACAGCAGTACTAGCTCCAGATCCAAGTCCCCCTTGAGCAGAAGACCCTTTGCCACGAGGCCCACCCGCATCACGCCCCGCAGGGTTCTGGTCATGTGCTCTGTCTTCTGTTCCCTGAGGGACAGACCAAAGCATGGCTCAGAGAGGAATTCGTTCTGGCCAGAACCCAGAGGCCCGTGAAAGGCTGGAGTTTCTTAGAGAGATGCTGACCCTGGCACTGGCAAGCCTCCCTAGACGGAAAGCACCGCGACAAAACCTCACACTTACCCAGCCCCTTCTTTGCTCTCATCCTCAGGCGGTGCGTCCATGCTGTCGGACTCGGTGTGCTCGCCACTGCCTTTTTCCTGCTCGTCTATCCAGTCAGACACGGCTTTGAGCGCCCGCTCAGTGTGGGACACCATGTTCTGGACTGCCTCCAGCTCCTCTTGCGTTGGATAAACGGAAGAATGCTTCGCCATCACATGGCGATCATCATTCACAAAAATTCGCATCGGACGCTGGAAGTGTGAAAACTAAGTTAAAAATGATGTAAAGAGAGAGGCAACCCAGCGCTGAGCTTATAAGCTGCAATAACTCCGAATTATGCTGTATGTTTCATATAAAAATAAGACTGTACAAACACAACTGAAGGACCAACAAGGACAAGCCAGCTTAACTACTGTTCTCTGGACACAGGGAGCAAGCAATGGGGCACTTATTTTGTATGTTTCCACAGGATCTGAATTATGCCAATACCTTACATTATTGCATTACTTTGTAACTCAGAAAGTCTAATGAAAATGGTAACAGAATCCAACACTTCTGGGGAAATGCTACAAACATCTTTATACAGGAATGAAGAACAGTATCTGGTGATTTAAAAAAAAAAAAAACTTACCATTTTTACTTCTTTTTCTGTAGTGTCTGGAAATCAAACTTTGTTTATCTTTTCAAACTGTGACAGATTTCCTTGGTGTTATCAATACTTCAACTATCTATAAGATCAGAAAATCTTTTTAGTTCCAAATAATTCAGAGATAGTTCCAAATAATTCAGAGACAGACTAATTTCAGCAGCAAGAACAATGCACAGCTGCCTCACGAAGGCACCTGTTAACACAGCAGGACACATCTTTACTTCCAAGTAACCACTGCTAGGCCAAGGCATTAAACTGCTAATTATAAAATTCCCTTCAAATGAAAACAGCTGGTTTCTAGAAGCCAGGTCTGCCATCAGACCCACACTCCCTCAGATGGTCTTACTTTCTTTTCTATCTTCCTTCATCCTTCCTTGACAGAAAGTGTGACAATTTTTACAAATATAAAACATAAAAATATTAACAAGCCTCCAAAAAAAGCTACAGGTAGAAAACATTCATCAAAATCTTGGTGTATTCATCTTCTACAGCTATCTTAAAAAGAAAAAAAAAAAAATCTTGGTGTGCAGGGAAGGAAGCGAGAGAGAAGCAGCTCCAGTCCTTGGGCGTCATGGAGACAGGCATGAGGGAAGGACCCAAAAGCCTCTGGAAGGCAGGAAGGCGATCCTTCCGCAAAGTGAGTACATCTGAAATGTCAGGCAGGCAGACGACGACAACCACGCTGGGTCCAGCTTTGCAGAGGCCGAGACAATCAAAGTGCACAACAGAAGGCTTCAGGACAAACGGAGCCATAATTACCATTTTGGTCTCCAAATAACATGCCAACTACAACCTACTCAATTCCCACTCCATGCCAACAGTCTGGTCCATACTGAAATCTTCCAAATGAGTAAACAACAACAACAACAAACCCCAACAGGGAAATATGCAACAGATGAATCTACCCTTCCATCTAACTAGTCACCAGCCAGCACAGCAGGCTCAAGCCTGGAAAGGTAAGAGCTTCAAGGATAAACTGACAGGATTGGGCAAAATAAGAATTTCCCACAATGCTTCAGGATTACTTAACAATTCCAATTGCAAATTTAAAGGTTCCAAACTTTACCATTCAACCCTTGGGTTTTAAAGTTTGAGGTGACAGTCTTGCAGAGCCAGGCAATAAGACATGGCACAGACCGGCGTGGTGGCTCACGCCTGTAATCCTACCACTCTGGGAGGCCAAGGCGGACAGATGGCTCGAGGTCAGGAGTTCGAAACCAGGCTGAGCAAGAGCGAGACTCCATCTCTACTAAAAATAGAAAGAAATTAATTGGCCAACTTAAAATATATATAGAAAAAATTAGCCAGGCATAGTGGCACATGCCTGTAGTCCCAGCCACTCGGGAGGCTGAGGCAGGAGGATCGCTTGAGCCCAGGAGATTGAGACTGCTGTGAGCTAGGCTGACACCACAGCACTCACTGTATCCTGGGCAACAAAGTGAGACTCTGTCTCAAAAAAAAAAAAAAAAAAAAGACATGGCACAGTCAAAAGCTCCGTGATGGGCGTGGGGACAAGGGAGGATGTGAAGGGGCACGGGATCGCATGGGAAGACCAGTCCCTGGATCTCACCAAGTGGGAACTTCTAAACAGACCTAGGCCTGAAATCCTGCCTGCCCAGCCACTAGCCACGTGACATTTTATTAAAGTTTCCATGGAGCTTCCTAGTTATACCTGCAACATGGAAGTGGCCCCTATACCTTCTGCAGGGAGACTGTGAAAATTAAACGAGCACAAATCCCACAGATGCTCAAAAATGGTAGCAGCTTCTACTGCCGACAGGACGCACACCCCCAGGCTGCTGTGCAGGCTGAGTGAGTCATCGCATGCCTTATGAGGGAAGGAACCATCATTCACTCAGTGAAGAGAACGATACTGTGGTTGTGTTTGAAAAGAATATTTTAACCTGTTCCATACATATTTAAGACAAATTTATGGCTGAAATGATATTCCTGATATTGCTCTAAAATGCTCCAGGAATGGGGTAGGGAAGGGTGACAGCGGTTGAAGCTGGGTGATGGATATACTGGGATTCATTTGTACAAGTATGAAAAATTCTGTTTGTTTTTTCTTAAATCCACAGTAAACTTAAGCACTTTTACAAAAGTACAGCCATAGTGGGTAATGTAAAAATTAAACCAAAGCTGAAAAAAACCAATCACAGCCTGTTTTCTGACATGAAACAGCTCTGGAGCTAAACAAGGAGGAGTCAGCTACTGCTGACTGTCCTCTGTGCATCCTGTGCCCCACAGCCACCACTGCTGGCCGTATCTGTGCTGGAATCTCACCAATCTGATCATGTGGGCTGATGTTTAAAACCCTATTTATTTATTCAACAAGTATTTAGCATGTACCTCTCCTGTGCCGGGTGCCGGGCTAGATGCTGGGACGACGATGGACAAGTCAGCCAAGTCTCTCGTTCCGCCGGAGCTAGCCATCTAGCACACCCTGAAGGACAACCCCCTTCCTCCCCTGCAAGTCCAACATGGTGCCAGGAGCCCACGCTTCGGTACATGCTTACCACTGCTCCACCCCAAATTATGCGTCCACTACAAATGTCAAACGTAGAGACATGAAACCAAGGTTCCAGGTGGCTAAGAGCTTTTCATTAAGGGTTTTCTAAGATGCATATTGTCTAAAACCTGTTAAAAAGGAGCTCCTTGTTCGTGGAAGCACAGGGAGAGCTCTGTAGTAGTAGCTCTGCAGCTCGGCCCTGAAGCCCAGGCCGCTTTATGTCTGTTCAGTCACTGCATGATTCTAACATCTAAGTAAACCTCTTTTTATGTGGAGGGAGGGGGAGGGAAGGAGCTCCTTGGAGAAGTGGTTTATTCCTTACTTATAACAAGAAACATACGGGGTTATCAAGGTCCTACTGTGGCATAAGAAAGCAAAGAAGAGCTGGAGACCGACATGGGCTTGTCCAGAGGACATGAGAACTCACTTGTGTGGGCTCCCACTGGCTACATTTGGGACAACCAAGAATCAAAAAGAATAATGCTTCCACCTAATGAAGTTCTAGAAAAGGCAAAACTAATCAAAAATGGGGAAAAAATGCCAACAGTGATTGCCTTTGGTAGCAAAGATCATGTGAGAAGGGACCCATGGGAGCTTTCTGGGGTGATAGTCACAGACTACCTCTTGGTAGAGATTGGGTATATGCACTGGTCAAAACTTATGAACAGGCGCGGTGGCTCACACCTGTAATCCTAGCACTCTGGGAGGCCAGGAGGGTGGATCACTTGAGGTCAGGAGTTCAAGAACAGCCTGAGCAAGAGCAAGACCCTGTCTCTACCAAAAATACAAAAACTCAGCCAGGCATCGTGGCCTGTGCCTATGGTCCCAGCTACCTGGGAGGCAGAGGCAGGAGGGTCACTTGAGCTCATGAGTTTGAGGTTGCAGTGAGCTATGTATGAAGCCACTGTATTCTACCCAGGGCAACAGAGTGAGACCCTCTCTCAAAAACAAACAAAAAACTCACTGAACAATATACTCAAGATCTGTACATTGCTTCAAAAGAAAAAAAAAACTATAAATACTTAAGTCTACTTATTATATAGAGGGAAGACTGCTGCAACTTTCTGCTAGTTTGAAATGCATCATAAAAATAAAGTGACAGAAGAATGGAACAGAACAAGAGGTGTATGGAGAAATGTATGAAACACAATAGTCAAATATCAAGGACACACTCTTAGGATGTGTTTACAGATAGGTGTCACTATAAAATTGTGCCACTTTTTTTTTTTTGAGACAGAGTCTCACTTTGTTGCCCAAGCTAGAGTGAGTGCTGTGGCGTCAGCCTAGCTCACAGCAATCTCAAAACTCCTGGGCTCAAGCAATCCTGTTGCCTCAGCCTCCCGAGTAACTGGGACTACAGGCATGCGCCACCATGCCCGGCTAATTTTTTCTCTATATATTAGTTGGCCAATTAATTTCTTTCTATTTATAGTAGAGACGAGGTCTCGCTCTTGCTCAGGCTGGTTTCGAACTCTTGACCTCAAACAATCCGCCCGCCTCAGCCTCCCAGAGGTACTAGGATTACAGGAGTGAGCCACCGCGCCCGGCCTGTGCCACCTTTTTTGAATGTTTGAACATTTTCATGAGATGCTACAAAAATATAACTAAAACTGATACAGCACATTAAATTTATTCAAATTCCTAAGTCCATAGATCAGGCATCCGCAAACTATGGCCCACGGGCCACATGCGGTGTTTTTGCCCGTCTGTTTTTTTACTTCAAAATAATATATGTACAGCGTGCATAGGAATTTGTTCAGTTTTTTTTAAACTATAGTCCGGCTCTACAATGGTATGAGGGACAGTGAACTGGCCCCCTGTTTAAAAAGTTTGAGGACCCCTGCCATAGATACTTAAAAAAAAAAAAAAAACACCTTATTTGCCACATTAGAAATGTTTATATTCCGTTACCACTGTTAGTATCACCGAAATAAATAAATAAATAAATAAATAAATAAATAAATAAATAAATAAATAAATAAAAGAAATGTTTATATTCCAACTTTACACTCTGAAAATTGTTAAAGAACTCAAGTTCACCCCCAGTTAATGCTGAGAATTTCTAATAAAAACACCAACTGACAGATTAGAGGGGGTTAGAAGTAGAAAACCACCCGGGAACAAGATTATCACTGGGTCAAAATATTGCCCTGAGGAGAAGCTCTGCCATTTTTCCTCCTTTGCCAGCAAAGTAAATGTCTTTCTCCTCCTCCACAAAACATTTGTCCTTGTTATTCTGATTCGGCCTCACGGACAAGTGCCAAGTTCTGGATAACATATTCCACACAATATGGAATATAAAATGTGGAATAGAAACATAGTAAACAAAGCATAAAATAATACAACGGAACTGAGATCAAATATACCAATAAATGTAAATGTGTTTTATTCACTTATTAAGAAAAATATTTTAGAAGCTATCACAAATAAAACCAGCAATATGTTGTACGCAAAAGACACATCTAAAACAAAGAGATTCTCAAAAGTTAAAAATGGAAGGATGAGCAAAGCTATACCAAGCAAATGCATACAGAAAAGAAAGCAAGGTGGCTGGATTTAGTCATTCC